GGTGGTGAGGCTTTTAAAAAGTGGGTCCTAATGGGAGGGTACCCTCCAATTGCCTAGGAACATGGGAGGGTCAAACAGATGAAGTGGGAATTCTTCCTTTCTCTTTTCACATGCCTGCCTTCCTTCCTGTTTCTGTTGGCCATACTGTGACGGAACACTAGAAGGCAGCTTGATACTGACCCCATGCCTTTGGGCTTTCCAACCACCAGAATCTTGAGCCAAATAAGTCCTTATTCCTAGTAAGTCACCCAGTCTCAGATATCTCTGTTTAATGACACAGTAAAGGAGTAAGACACACTAGGAAACAAAAAAAATTGTGACTCACTTTATTGCAATAGTCACTTCATTGCAGTGATCTGGAACTGAATCCACGGTATCTCTGAGGTATACTTGTACATTAATGATACTTAGACCAACTAAACTGTTACTGTTTTGAAGATGCAAGTAAATATTAACATCAACCGTAAATGGCAGTTAGCAAATGTGCCTGATTATTGTTAAATATACTTAATATGCATCTGCATTATAAATTTGCATACAGGGACCAGAAGATGGTGGAGTGGTTAGGATACTGGACTCCATATGGCCGACTGTTGTTCGAGCCCCAGGATTCAGTGGCTTGAAACGCTGGGCACATATGTGTCAGTACCCAAAATCCTAAGAGGAGAATGGAGAAGAGATTGAGGTATCTCCATCCCTCCTTGGGGGTGATTTCTCATATTCTCTCTGTCTCTCTCATTTTCTGGTGAGCACATGCACCCCCATGGCAAAAAACTTAAAAAAAAAAAAAGTTAGAAAGAAAGAAATTCTCACACAAACTTTTTTCATAGGAAAAAGAAAAGACAGTAGCCTTGGAACACAATAAATCAACAAATTAGTGATTGCGTGGGACAGAAGTAAATGATTGTGAGAATCACAGGCATCCTGACCACAACTTGAAATTGCCATAAACTACCAGGGAGAGAAGACTAGACAAAACACTTTAAAAAGCAAGAACAATGAACTTCAGTAGCATAGTAGGGGATAGCATATGGAAAATGCCCTAATGTAGAGCTACCCTGATGAGGCTCAATAAATGTGGTTTAACCGTAATTAGATTCTGTAACAATCACAGCTCCCCAAACGTTCAGTTATTACTTTTTTTTTTTTGGAGAGGTTTTTTTTTGCTACAGGGCGCATGCGCTCGCCAGAAAGACAGAGACAGAGAGACAGAAAGTGAGAAATCACCCCTCAGGGGGGATGGCCACCCCGCAATCCCTTCTCCTCCATTCTCCTCTCGGGATCTTGGGCGCGCACACACACTTGTCCTGCGTGAGTTTAAGCCACTTGGTCCAGGACACGAACCGCGGTCGGCTACATGGGAGTTCAGCGACATAGCCATTACGCTAACTGCTGGTCCCCCGAATGTACAGTTATTTGAATTTGAAATCCCTTTATACTACCTGGATTTGCTATATCTCCAAGGCGTGTCTGTATTTGAAAAATATCAGTACCTTGATTGGTATTGGTTTCATTCTGTTTACTCTGCCTTCCTTTTTTTTAGGTAGGGTTTCTATTGTTAGGTCATCAGGAAAGTCATGATGTATTTTTGTTTTCCTATGCAAAACTGCATCATGACTTTCCTGATGACCCAATATTTACAGGTGGAATAATATGCCATTTTCTTATCACTCAAGAATTGAATTACACTTGATTCCTAATTCTTGATCACCTTCCCTCCTATTCTTAATTTAACTCCTTCCTCAGTTTTTAGTATGCGTTTCATAAAATGCCATGTTATTGCAATCTAACTGCTTTCTAAATTATTTTAGCTGTGTTACAATGTTCTTGTTCTCTTATTTCATAACTTCTGAATTTTCTAATCATTCTAAAAATAGTAATTAATTTGTCTTATAAGACTTTTGGTTTTTGTTGTTTTACGGTTATTTGGGTCACATTCAGAGGCCAGAGAGGGGGCAGGACTCTGATTGCTCTTGCTCAGTACTGTTTTCCCCAGCAGGAAATACTCAATACATAATGTGAAATGAATGAATTTGAGAGAATGCTTTGAATCTCTTACTCTAGTTCTTTATTAAATAACAGAACATATGTACAGCATTTCAGGTAACCTCAGCTGTTTCTTACTGTTACTGTGGTTGAATTCAGTTAAGCAGGGTGTGATAGGAGACTATTTGCTTTGTCAAGAATTGGAGCTCAGGCTTAGAGGGATTCTCTCCAGTTATTGCAAGTCTGAGTCTGTCAGTATTATTCAGCCTCGTGGCTGTTTCCCAGTCCTGTTTCAGCTGTGCAGGTAACAGCAGAGGGTTCTTACTGAGCCACAGTTTGGAGATTTGGAGGATAGGATTAGTACTTCCTTAGGTATCAATGAACTATTAGTAGTTCTCAGAACAAAGGTACTTCCTGAATCAGGGTTGACTAAAGTGGCTACTCTTATTTATTTTCTTTTACAGAGAGATTTTTGTTACAGGGTATGTACACTTGCCAGAAAGACAGCCAGAAAGCGAGAAATCACTCTCTGGGGGGATGGTCACACTGCAATCCTTCCTCCTCAAATCTCTTGAGATTTTGGGCATGCATACACATGAACCTGGTATGAGTTTCAAGCCTCTGGATCTGGGACTCAAACTGCGGTGGGCCATGTGGGAGTCCAGCAATGTAACCATTATGTCATCGCTGGTCCCTGAAGTGACTACTTTTAATCACATTAAGAGTACTAGAAATTGGAGAAAACCTTATTAGAAATTAGACTGTATTTCATTTCCATAGTTCATTTTGGATATGATTATAGGTTTTTCTTCCTTTGCTCGTTCTTGTAAGTCTTTTCCTCATCCTCCTAATAAAGTTATATTTAAAAACAAAACTCTTGTTTGGCATTTTTATAATTTTGACTGTGTAAATACCATTTGTTAAGCTAGTATCTATGACTATATTTTGTTTCTCATAGAATTTGATTTTTCCCTAGAGTTAATAAATTACTTCATCTTTTTTCCTCCTTAATGCCATATGGCATGCCCACTTGGCCAGAGAGAGACAGAGATGGGGGTAGTGGGAAAAAGAACTTCTAGTGGGGTGTGGTCATGCTATACTTCCTTCTCTGTTTCTCTTTACTCTTGGGATTTTGGATACACATGCATACACATTTTTTTGAAACTATGACTTAATTTCTCACATCTTCCAATGTCTTTGTAAAATCTTTTAATAAAATATTCAAATACTTGCAAACCTATAAGGTAGTTTACCTAATAATTTTCCCCCTAGAAGTAACTGAAATCTTTTATGGCAAAAAATTCCTGTCTAGATCTGTTACCATGTAGGCCTTTTACATATGTTTACTTGTGACCGTGCTTGCTCACCAGTTTGGGGAGTCTATGCATTTTTCTTCTATATTAGATCTCTTCTTTACTGGATTCCATGTCACCTTTCTTGGTTTTCTTCCTGACTTTGGTGGAATATATATTCTGTGGTTAAATTTGTGGAGAGTTTGCCTCTATAATGATATCTAAATTACCGACTGGGCATAGCTTTTGAAATAGAAAGGTTATGGGAACCAGCAGTTAGCGTAATGGCTATGTCGCTGGACTCCCACGTAGTCGACTGTGGTTTGCGTCCCGGAACTGGTGGCTTAAAACTCATGCCAGGTGC